ACGTATAACCGTTATCTGTACAAACGCTACTGCAAACGAACTCAGGAAAATCTACGCAGACATCCACGACATTTTTGGAAATTTTTCGACTCTAAACGGAAGGAGAATGGGTTACCGTTGAGATGTTTCTGGGCGATGAAGTCGCCACCTCCGCTTTTGAAAAGTGCAATTTGTTTGCCACTCACTTTAGAAGGGCATTTAATGATTCTACGTCGTCTGCACGTCAAATCACAGAAGCTTGTAGAGATACACCTAGTGGGGTCTGTTCTCTGAGAAGCTTTGCGATCACGTCGAATCAGGTGGACTCCGCAATAAACAAATTGAAATACTCTATGTCCAGTCCAGATGGCATACCGTCATGCATCCTGAAAAAAATGCGGCGAAGAGTTGATTTTCCCTCTTACGACACTTTTCAACATATCATTACGGAAGCGCAGTTTTCCCACAAGCTGGAAAACATCGGTCATGTTCCCGTGTTTAAAAAGGGGGATCGACAGAACATCGAGAATTACAGAGGAATAACTTCGTTGTGTGCTTGTTCGAAGGTTTTCGAAATCATAATAAATGATGTACTTTTCGACTCCCGCAAGACTTATATTTCTACGGATCAGCACGGTTTCTACCCCAAAAGATCAACATCTATAAATCTCGTCCAGGTTACTTCGTTTTGCATACGCAACATTGATGCTGGTGCTCAGATCGACACCGCATACACTGATTTGAAATCAGCTTTCGATAGAGTTGACCACGGAATATTACTGAAACGTCTAGGAAGAATTGGTGTCTCTGCGGATCTTGTTAGCTGGTTTAGATCATACCTTACGGATCGTAGCCTCACCGTTAATATCGGATTTGAATCTTCGGAACAATTATCTGGCGTGCCACAGGGTAGCAACCTGGGTCCTTTGTTATTCTCACTCTTCATCAACGAGCTTTCTCTCGTACTACCATCTGGCTGCCGTGTGTTTTACGCTGATGACGTCAAAATATACATGATCATTAATGGTATCGAGGACTGCTATTCTCTAAAATTGCTGCTGAATAGTTTTGCTGATTGGTGAACATGCTGACGTTGAGCATCCACAAATGTAACGTTATATCGTTTCATCGCAAGCTCAACCCGATTACGTATGATTATTCAACTAATGGTCAGTCCCTTGAGCGTTGTCTTCAAGTTCGTGATATTAGTGTCATCCTGGATTCAGCGCTGACCTTCCGATCGCACTACAACGATACAGCCAACCGACAGCTGGGATTTATGTTCAAAATATCCTGCGAATTTACCGATCCTCTCTGCCTCCGGTCTCTATACTGCGCACTGGTGCGATCGATTCTGGAATCCAACTCTGTAGTATGGTGCCCGTACCAGTCAACCTGGACTGGTAGGATCGAAGCAATTCAGAGAAAATTTGTGAGATATGCCCTACAACCAACAATCAATACGAAACTAACGATTTTAAATTGGCTCACTACTTGACTAGCCTATTGGTCCCAAGCAAACGATTAACGTATCCCATTCTAGTCGAAATTCTAGTACTACGCAATGTTTGTTTTGATTCGCTATGAAAGTTTGACAGATAAAATGAGGGGTTATTGGTTTTTCTTGTGTTTCGAGGGGTGAATCGATTAGCTTGGGACCGAAGAGAGTACCAGAGCTGAGCCAAAAAGTTGAACACGTTATTTTGGGACTTTCTAGTCTTAAAGTTACCTCTATGCTACAACGCCTTGCGTGGCGAGATCCGTTAAACCTACCACAATATAGAGATCGATGCAGATTATTGGGACTGCAGACGCTTGAGCAGAGACGGAATGATGCCCAAGCGGTGTTTGTAGCTAAACTTCTTACAGGAGAAACTGACGCACCGGAGTTACTAGGTCAACTTAACCTTTACGTTCCTGAACGATTACTTCGCCAACGGAACTTTTTGCTGCTTGAGCCCAGCAACTCCTTGTACGGCCTTCATGATCCTGTCCGCTTTATGTCGACTAGGCTTGAGCTTGAGCTTGAGCTTGAGCTTGATTGACCGCCCACGGTTGCTACTCTGTTATTGCCAGATCAGCTGTAATTACACAGAGAACCAATAGACGGTGCTTGGGACTAGCAATCATCCTCAATGTGTAAAAACTGGCGATCTTAAATTAGGCAATACCAGCGCCGGCCGCGCCCGAACACAGGTCAAGAAAGGAAGGGGAAGGATTGTGTTGACATGACACTCGCTTTGATGGAAGCCGAGAACACCTCTGCACTTCCACGAGGAATCACTGGGATATTGAGTAATAGGGTTGGGTTTGCAGCAGGGTTCGTTTTGGTAAACGATAAGCTGAATTGATGTCCTAACAATCATATAACGCGAAGGAGCTTGGTATTGAACCCACGGTCTTCTGCTCAGTAAGCAAAAACGTTTGCCACTAGGCAGACGAGCTCCTTTTTAATCATCGAGTTGCTGTTATTACCATGTAGTCATATTAACAAATAAAACGATTGACGAATCTTGAATGTGGATGGGCCTGAGATTAGATTCATGATGTTCTGCTCAGTAAGCAAAAACGGTTGCTCTAAGGCCACCGAGCCCCTCATATCACATAATACCGTTGCTCAAATTTTTGTATCCATTCAAACCCGGAACCAACGACAACAACGAGTTTCACAAAATACACGATACACAAGCGATTTTACCATAAATCTCTTTGATATGTAAGAACCTGGGACCGCGTTTTTCTGCTCAGTAAGCAGGCCACTGTAACCGACGATCTTTCAAATCCGAAAACTAAAAACTATGAAAATATTCTTAGGCCTTCATTAAGTTCCACTTTCACGCGACGTTCAATGACAGGGTCCTATCCAGGACTACATCTGAAAAATCCAAATCTGGCCAACGCCCACCCTAAACCTAAACCTGTTCTAATCCATCTGAAATGACTAACGAATGGAAGACTTTGACTACCCAGCCATGCAATAGTCTCATTCTGTGCCTTATGACAACTTGATGATTCTATTGCGCTCATCTTCTGGCACCACCCAGGGGAGACTTGGTCCTGTACCCAATGCTTAACTTATCTCCATTCCACTCAGCTACTCGCAATTTCTTGTGATACAGTGGGTGGAATATTATTATATGAGACAATTAAATGCAGACGTCATTCCAAATTTGGCAGATCAACAGGTAATCGTTGAGTTACCACGATAGTTGCTATTCAACAACTCGACAACGTCCCATCGTCAACGCCTGCTATGAGAATTTCCCATTGCAGACGCCAACGAAATGACGTCATCGAGTTATCGATCAACTACCCTGGTTATCGCCTGGTACCTTATAGCACGATGCTAGGTGGCGAACCGGAAGAATCGATGAGCTACCTCTCCCCCCCTGTCCGATTTATGTCGACTAGGTTCAACGAAGTCTACATCCTCTTCGACTTCAACTCTACTGTGGCAACATTTAAGCATAGACTGACTGAATTGCATTAATGGATCGAATGAGATTCGTTATTGTGAAAGACGAGGATTGCTTCGGATGATGGATGTCCAATGGAGCTGATAGAATTATAAATTTTTTATGTTTTTGACTACAGTTGATATTTGAAGCCATGTTCACTTTGTGTTATGTTCACGGATGTGCTTGTTTTGTAATGTTTGTACTGTATTATGAAAAGATATGGGGTTTTTACGCCATTTAAATTGGCTTTTCCCCATCTTATTCATTAAGACGACAAAAAGTCAGATGAATAAATAAATAAATAAATTGAATAAATAAATAAATAAAAAGTGAACGATGAAGAACTAGAATCAATTGAGGGAGAACTGCTGAGTTGGAATTTGCTTTAATGATTGTTAAGCTAAGATGGTCCACTTGATCAGTATATACTGAAGCAAATAGACTTAACAATTTCATAAGGCTCGACTTATGAACGACACGTATGATTTTCATAAGCACGACTTATGAAATTTCGTCTAACATGAGGTAGCTCTACTACGCCATAAGCCATTCAATTTTCCCAAGCGTTGACAGACGAGTAGTCCGGACATAGGACCCGTAATCTCTACGTGAAAAGTTTGGTTCCAGTCTGCTCAGTTTTTTTATCGACATTATTTTTCATACCGTTTTCTTGTGCCTAAAATTCATAAGTGGTTCTTATGTAATGCTTACGTTCTTTTGCCTCAGTGTACTTAAATGATCTCCAATCCTCGAAATAATTCCCGACCATGTATGTCTAGGTGTTCTGATAATGTGATCAAAGTAATACAATTTGACGCTGACGCTGATCAGTACATTTTAGACATTGCTTACCTCTCCGTAGCACCTTAATATATTAACTTGTGAAATTGTAAAGTGTATGGAATACATCGACCAAATACAGCACCAGAGTGAATGAAAAATTGCTCTTCTGTAGATAATTGTTAATTCTTCTGGGACATATACCATTCTGGTTCAATATATTCAAGAAAAGGATTTAGCATTATATATTTCATATTGTCTTTTATTATTATCATATAAATTCTACAATAACCTTGCAAAGATACCAACCACTGTAATTTCTATTAAATTTGTTGCCACTAAACTGACACTCAGGGTGTCAGCTCATGACAACAAATTGTATCGGAGCGATGCAGTAGAACACCGCTCTTCTTGGAAATTTGCATAGTGATAATGCTTTGTTCTTTGTGACAGTAGCATGAACTCTCCGATGAGCTTGAAGTGAATGACGAAGGATTGAAAAGATTGAAATTTATATTTGAATTTGGTATAATTTCAATCTACCTAATTCATGTTCTTGATTTCAAATATACCTATGGGATCCATCTCCATAGGTACGTACAAAATTTTAACACATCACAGCGAACCAGGATTCTGGGAATTGCCATGTGTGTTTTTTTCACTGGCACTTCCTCAAGGATCTTAAATTTGAACACATAACCTCAACACGCGCCGCATGCTCTTACTCGACTTAAAAAATCCAACAAAACCATAACATGTCTTTTCCCCTCCTTCCTTACACAGGGCGACTTGGCCAGAAAGAAGATCTACCCCACCCTTTGGTGGCTGTACCGCGACAACCTACTCCCAGGTGCCACCAAGTTCGTCGGCTACGCCCGTAGTAAGCTGACCGTGAACGAGCTGCGCGAAAAGTGTCACCCTTACATGAAGGTTTGTTCCACCTCCATGTCATTCTATTGCGCCTCAGTAATGTTTTAACATCCGCATTCCGCAGGTCGAACCGGACCAGCAGGTGAAGTACGAGCAGTTCTGGGCGTTGAACTTCTACCACGCCGGTAGCTATGACGGCCGACGGGACTTCGAGCTGCTCAATCAGGAAATCGGTAAATTCGAAACGGGCAAAATGGCGAACCGGCTGTTCTATCTGGCTCTGCCGCCGTCGGTGTTCGAAACGGTAACCGTTCACATCCGGAACACCTGTATGGGACAGAAGGGCTGGAATAGGATCATCGTTGAGAAACCGTTCGGACGGGACGCGGACAGCTCGAATGCTCTGAGCGCCCACCTGGCAAAGCTGTTCAACGAGGAGCAGTTGTATCGTATTGATCACTATCTGGGAAAGGAAATGGTTCAGAATTTGATGACCATTCGGTTCAGTAATCAGATTTTCAGTCCAACGTGGAATCGGAACAACGTGGCATCGGTGTTGATCACGTTCAAGGAACCATTTGGGACGCAAGGCCGTGGAGGTTATTTTGACGATTTCGGAATCATTCGGGACGTTATGCAGAACCATCTGTTTCAGATTCTTTCGTTAGTGGCCATGGAAAAACCGGCCACATGCCACCCGGATGACATCCGTAACGAGAAGGTGAAGGTTCTGAAGAGCATTGAACCATTGACGATCGATGACGTCGTACTGGGCCAGTACGTGGCCAATCCAAACGGTGCGGATGACGATTCCCGAATGGGATACCTGGACGATCCAACGGTTCCGAATGATTCGGTGACCCCGACGTTTGCTCTTGCTGTACTTAAGATCAACAACGAACGATGGGAAGGCGTTCCATTCATTCTCAGATGCGGAAAAGCTCTGAACGAACGTAAAGCTGAAGTCCGGGTTCAGTATCAGGATGTTCCCGGGGATATCTTCGATGGAAAACCGAAGCGCAACGAACTGGTGATTCGCGTTCAGCCGGGTGAAGCCTTGTACGTCAAGATGATGACCAAGTCACCGGGTATCACCTTCGATATGGAGGAAACCGAGCTGGATCTGACGTACGGACATCGGTACAAGGACGTCAAGCTACCGGACGCCTACGAACGGTTGATTCTGGACGTGTTCTGCGGTTCGCAGATGCATTTCGTGCGGGCGGATGAGCTGAGTGAGGCCTGGCGTATCTTCACTCCACTTTTGCACTATATAGAACGAGAACGACCCGTACCAATCAAGTATGTGCACGGTTCCCGTGGACCAAAGGACGCGGACAAGAAAAGTGACGAAAATAACTTCAAATACTACGGATCGTACAAGTGGCACAAGAAGAACTGAAAGCGGAGATGAGGTTTTTTTTTGGTTGAACTATTGTAAAGTGAAATAATTCTGCGCAGTTTTTGAAAATTCTTTAAGCTTTAATGACCTATTGTAGTTAATTTAAAGTGGCGCTGCGCAGAATGATGGTACTTTACGGTAATTTTGTTGAATTTTTATCATCCACTGCTTTTTCTCTCTCTTCTGTTTTTGGTCTTCATTTATTTATTTAATTCATTCGATTTCATATTTAGCTAGGGTAATACATAATTAATATTACTATTGTAACGAGCGGAAGGCATTTAAAAACATGTATTTTATACAAAATTGAGCAAAATTCCTACAATAAAAACATTCCCCGACCAATGTTTTGGACAACTTGCGTTGTTTTCTTTGCTGTTGTTGCTGCAGGTTGGTTGGAAGCTGCATGGGGGAGGATTTCCCGCCCAACTCGGAATGACATTTGGAACGCATGCGTTCCAGCAGCGGGAGAGAAAATTTGTTTGCATCACTACTGTCAATTTTTGTGTGTGACCGAAAGATTCTGAAAGGTTCAGTTTTTCTGTTGGCAGGTAGAGTATCGTGTGCTGTGACTATTAAATATTTACAATTAAATGAGTTTCGTCTTAATGTGCTGGTGAAAATTTCGATTCGATGAACAGTTTTGGAATTGAAACAACTGAGTGATCAGCATATGTCATTGAAGGTAATCATGCTACAGATTATTCTATCAAAATAGTTCTAGTTGCATCATGTGTGGTTGTTTGGCCTTTTGTTCTGGTGTGTTTGGAATCGTGGTGATAATTAGCTCAAAATTGCTTCACTTTTCGTAGCAGAACAGTGATTAGAATGCAAACGGTGATGGATAGGGCTGATTCCATATCATGACGTGATTTATTTACTTGAATAATAAATGCTGCTGCTATTATCAATTGTCTCTGGTGTCTGGTGTTCGGAGATTAAAGAGCATAAATTCACGAGCTTCTCTCGGAACATAAGATGATACACGTGCTTTATCTCCAGCTGATCGTTTTAGGGTAGAAATACTCTTTTCTGGTTTGAGGATGTTCATATTGTCTTGCTTGAGTTGATAATGTGGGACAGCCAGTAATGTCAGCACTACTATTCATTTAAATTATTTAAGAGAATCAATCTTTCCGAAAACATGGGTTACAAAACTGAGTAGTTTTACTCAGAATGGTCACATCATACTACCACCGGTTGGAAACTAACGATTTAAAATTGGCTCACTACTTGACTAGCCTATTGATCCCAAGCAAATCGATTAACGTACCCCGTTCTACTTCAAATTCTAGTACTACGCAGTTACAGAAATACTTACATGATTTTTTCATACCGTTTATATAGTTTTCATCCGGATAACAGCTTTTTTTCGCTTCTAGTCTGAATTCTAACGTACCGTAAAACGGGGTATCTTCGATAATGCGGGTAACTTTGATAGTATAATGTAAAGATTAAATTTACTCGCTGCGCTTTCTCTAAATTAGAAATATTGTTTCCATATTGTAGCTTAGGGTATTTCCGTTGATATCGTATATAGTTTTTATAAAGTATGTGTTACATATTTTACAAACAGATTGAAAAACCATTTTCGTATCCTGTTTGAAAAAGCACATCATTTATTAAATGTATTTCCGATATAGCCATCACAAATTCAATGTTGTATTCTTATTGACTATGATGTTTCCTGATTATATACTCATTCAAAGTTTCATATTTACAGAACTGAAAAGTTTGAGTTTCATGATTTTTTTCTACATTCATCGAGCATTAGCAAAGTAACCCCACATCAAAATACTGATGTTCGGTCAAACAACTTAACAAAAAATGCATATGCTTTAATTTCCGTTAAACAAATTACTAACGAATTAACTCCTGGATCCTCAGTACTTGTTTTAAAACATAAAATTTAAAAAACATTAATTGCTCTAAAAAATATTTAGAATATACTTTAAAAAACTATCAATTTTACCCCGTTGTACGGTACTGCGATTTAGACAGCTTTGCATCAAAAAATAATGCTAAAGCTTCAGCATCGTTACACTCGAACAATGGATTGTTCGATGATCTTTTCCACGATTTAGCAATTTTGTTTGCCCGCGACGGAGTAGTCTGCGCAGCCTCTTTGAGAATATCAGCAGCATGTTTATGACCTGACTCGCGTAGCTTCATCTGCGTTGCAAATACAAGCTCTTCTGCTTGATGGTTCTCACGAATGGATGCTGTTTATTTTAGTCGTGTCACTACACTTTTCGAATAGCATTGGCTTACGCCCAGCCGGGATGCTCGATGATGACGAAGGAAGCATATTGAGGATGTTTGCTGGAAGTTTGAACGGTATTTTGAAATTCTCAAAATGGTGGAGCAGCACCCTGTCAGCTGTGCGATTATGTTTTATCCAAAGCCTTTGAAAAATATCACAAATAGTCTTGGTATACTTTTCTACCTCCACAGCAACTTCCGGCATAATGTCTGAATCAATCGAATAGGCTTTCAGGACCTCTTTGAATATGCTGCGATTTTTTATCGCCGAACTCCTTCCTGCTGCTCTCCATGCTGAAAATAGATGTTGTTTATCGTATTCAACTGGAATTTAAGAATGATTTAAAAAATAGTTCTTGACATAAATTCCAAAACATAGGCAGTCAAATTTCAAATTAAGATATTTTACATACCGATGGAGGCCATTTATACAGTTGAAAACTGGGCACTGATACCTTGATTCGTTTACACAATAGAGCTTTCAAACCACTAACAAATAATTAAGATTTAATAATGTTATTTTACTTCACTTGTCGATGGTTGCTAAGGGACTCAGAAAAATGATTGAAGTCTTGGGTCATGGCCTACTTGATTTCAACAGTAGTATTATAATGTATATAAGATATCTCTAACACAAGGTGCGGCAATTCTGATGAAATAGCATGCACATTTAGGTACGGCTTTCACTATTTTGTTTAAATCATAGTTTACCAACAATCGCTTACATTCACAGATGTTTGCTATCATTTTGAAGTAAATTTCTTAAAGTTTCACATGCACCATAGGTATTTGCCCCTTTTTGCCCCCTGCTAAGTTACAAGTTCATAAATTATGGTCTAAAGATCTTCAAAAACATCAATAACTTACTGCAATGCGGTGTTCTACAATATTGTGTATTTTGTTATTATCTACAACTTACTAGAACATGGCAAAGCCGTAAAAATGTAGACGAAAAAGTTATGATGAGAAAACCATTTTTGAGGGACCGTCGGCAATAAACGTCACATATCTTGAAAAGTAAAAAAGATATTAATTAAGCGTCTTGAGCAAAGTTCTTTGTAAAGAAATTTTCTACAACTTTGTCCAAGACACCAACCCTGTATCTTGAATAGTTGAAAAAAATATATTTTCGATTTCACTTTTAGGGGGATTAATCTTTTAACTAAAAACACCAAAAGAAGCGCAGTAACATATTGAAACACTTCTCTCAATACACCATATCTCTTAATTTCATGATAAAGGAGCTATTAATTAATCGCACGAAAATGCCGATTTCAACCACTGTGCGGTGGTAGAAAGGGCAGTCATAAGTGATGCATTACCACGTTTAAAAACTTGTTTCCAGCAAAAAAAAAACACACTTTACAATCAAAACAAATCCCTAAAAAAGACTGAGCTTCTGTGATTTTCTCTTACGGATCCGTATTTTTGCAAAATTCAATCAATTCAAAAGATCTACGGAAAATTTCGGAGAACCGACATCACTGACTTTCATCTGTTTTGTTCACGGCGAATGAGAACACCTCAAATTTGAGTTTAGTTCACTCATAATCGCCAAAAGTGCAGGAACTCAGCGATGAGTAAAATTTGTCTCAAGGTTTCCTGTGGAAAACCTAAAAAATCTGCCGGAAAATGAGGAAATTGACGAAAATTTTATTCAGTCTCGGAGTAGTACCAATAGACTGAGTGAATCCAATCTTTACTTTTCTCAAATTCGGGAATTTTTCCCTGGAAAATCCTGGAAAAACCTGGGAAAACATGAGGCAAATTTACTCATCGCTGAGTTCCTGCACTTTTGGCGATTATGAGTGAACTAAACTCAAATTTGGGTCGTTCTCATTCGCCGTGTTATTATTCAACACAGCTGACGCGTTGACAGAACGAGGGAAAAGCAACTAGTGATAAAATAACATGAACGAGGGATGCTACGGTTGCTAAACAATGTTTCGGAATGTGCATGATAGAGGGTGGTAGTGTGCATGCAAAATACGCTTGACGATATATATTTTGAAGAATTTTCACTTAATGTTTCAATTTCAGGCTCTAAATGCATCTTTCCAGCCAAATTCCCATTATGATCCATTGTGCAGTTGCATCAAGCTGTGGAAATCTACCATGTGCGATGGTTTGAAAAATCTTGAAGTTTGACACCCAAGGAAACCGGGGCATGCTATGGACTTGAAAAAGCTACCATGGCATTGGCTTGCAAAATCTTGTAACACCCATAATAATATGTCTCAAATTGGCCACATCCCCGGGGCATCTAGAACCTGCTCCATTGGCATTGACTTGCAAAATCTTGAAATTTGACACACATATTGAAATGGCTCCGGTCATGTACCATCGATGGTCATCGCAACTTGTGATGCTGAAAACGATTCTGAAGATATCGCGCTGAAAAATCATGAGGATTGTTACCCATATTGACGTAACGTGACCCAAAAGATTAACAATACGGGTCACTTTACCGAAACCGATTTCAATGAAAAGGCCAGATCTCGGTTGTTTCTCAACAGATCTTGGATCTGCTTGCATTTGAAGGAAAAAGAAATTAGAGCGCTACTTCGTCGTAATCGCCCATTTCCTTTCTATCGATCAGAAAAGATCAATAATATCAATGATTTCACCGTGCACAAATCAATAATAGGTTTGTTCCGATGCGTTAGTTCATTAGCTACAACATAAATCCTGTTAGAGCGCATTGTATGAATATTTACGCTCATTGTTCTCAAAACAAAAGAAGCGCTCCTAGCGAATCCCCTTTTTCTACGTTTATCCGTAGGACGAAGAAAATCTAATGGCGTTCAATGCGTTCGGACGGAATTGAAACTCGTAGAACGAATTTAGAATCAAGAAGCAGTGTTAGATTTTAGACAATATCTCAACAATTTGTGACTCTTTATCAAATCCAACGGTACGTATGGAAAGGTGAATAAATTTGCAAGTCATTTTTGATAGAAATATTCCATTTTTTGTTTAAACTCGTTCAGAAAATAGAGGTAAAGCGCGGGTTGTGCTTAGTAGGACGGAAATTAGATCAAAAACCCTAATTAGTTCGTACAAAAAAGTACCTCGAAGGGCCTCTCAGAAACTTGCACCACTTGTCTATAATTAACATCCGCAGAATGTTTGGGAAAAAATCATGGAAATTTGAAATCTAATACAAACGCGCCAGTAAGAGAAAGCATCCTTTAAAATAATTAGGTTAAATAACGCCTTATCATTTTTCTTGTCAACATTGATGTTTGCAGCATATCTTAAATTCGACAGAAACTTCAAATCGGTAAGGTCTACTGCGTTGCATTTGCCGCAAAGATGATTCTGAGAAATGATTCGAGTTTAAATAAATAGAGGAAATGGATGAAATGTCGGCCTAAATACCCCTTATTTGGGACCATACATAAATTAAGCAATCGACTAAATTTTCTAAAGCGACCAAAAATATCCATTAGTACCATCCCAATCACGCGTTCATCTAGAAAAAAAGATGATAATTAGCAGATTTTTAGTGATGGGCCCAATCTTAGATCCATGGGCCAACATTAGAGCCATTTCTCCTATATAAAAATTTGTCGACAAAACCAACGAAATTTTTTACAAGCTTGTATATGCAACACTACTGGTTTATGCGAAATCGTGCTTAAATTTACATGACATATTGTGAACATACCGTGCCAAACACTCCAAATTATACTAGAGTTGATGTAACAATAATACGTGGTGTAATTAAAGGTTTATATAATATAATGTAGTGGAAAAACTCACTGAATGCCTCCAATGATAACCAAATTCCTAATTTATAGATAATAATTGAATGATTTAACCAAATCTGTGTTGCTTGACTGTGATGATAAACTTTTCCGAGCTCTAAAAAAACTGTCACAAAATGTCATAAATGGAGTCCTCCTTCGGTCGTTTCTTCTTAATGTGGCTGCATCGGACGATTTGATGTTGGAGGTTCAATGGAGATTTATTTTTTATTTGATTGGGGATCCAGTGTTGTGCGAAGGCGACAACACAATTTTTGTTGTACATAATGGTGTATTACGATGGGGATCTCTGAAGTTTAGCATAATTTTTCACGCTTCTTCTACAATTTAACTAGGGGAATTTACGTATTCTCGTCAATCTAAGCAGCGTCCGAACTTCTATTAGCGATTTATCAGCGTCACACACATACATGACAGATTTGTTTGTTGACATTTATCTGCTGCTTGCTGTTCTACCAATTCCAATCGACAGAATTGATGAAAACGGGTTGAACATGTTTTTACAACGCTCCAAACTTCTCAGGTGAGTGTGACTATTGTCGGCAGTCTCTTTTTCTTCGGCACCCTTTCCATTTGAACTGCGTGTTAATCAGCTGTTCTAATATCGGCAACTCGAAATCAGCCGTATTTTGTAGTGTGTATATTTCATTTAAAGAAAAATATGGCAGAACAGGATTGCACAGTCGTAAAAATGTAATCAGATTGAAGCTGAAAAGGTAAGGAATCGGATTAATACATGCAGCGAAGAGTTTTGATGGGAAAATACAGTGAAATTAACGTTTCAATTTCGGTTGCCGAAAACGGTCAATGGGTGCCGAAGCCATAATTTACCCTATAAGGGACGGAAATACCACACAGAATTTTTTTTTCTTAATTTGACTATCGCGTAAAATCTCCCTTCGTTTAATTTTGAGCTATACTTGTCATAAACAGCGAAGGAAGTGCAGTTTCGAACGCCTTTGGATACGGTTGTGTTTTAAGTTTGTTCTCTGTTTTGTGCGTGCGCTCGCGTTCATAGTTTTCGGCTGCAATTGCCGGATTAGCGCTGGCGCTCTGCCTCCCGGACGTTTATACGTGTGTGATTGGTAGTTTGATCGTTTTCCGGTAAGTTTTAGAATAGAGAAAGAAAACGCGATTCAACATGTTTGCAAGCATCAGAGGAGATGTCGCAATCTGCGTTGTCCGGACCAGAAATTGGTGGCATCGCGAGTGATAAGTTTTAATTTCGATTATCCGGAGTGATAAAAAAAATTCGATACTCCGGATAATCGAGTCCGACCTGCATATGGAAAATAGATAGAGGCTGTCTATTAGCATACTTCTATTTTCCTCATATGTATTGGAGAAATTTTTCCTGGTTTACAGGGCTTCTGCCCGGAAAATGCAACTCACTTCTCAACAAACATTGCATGCTGAATAAGAGCTTATTCAGGCAAAAATATGCGTCATCAGCTAAAAGATGAATTATTCAGCCATTATTAAGCTTAAATTGTTTGTTGGGTTTTGAGTAAACCCACTTTTGACGAAATTGAGTTGCCTCGACTCGATTTTGAGTCGGTCTGATCGTACGTGTGAAGTCATAAGAAACTTCCCGGGGAATTTCGAGAAAAGTTTCATTGGGTGTAGCATATGTTGTTTCGTCTTACTCAACATTGCAGGGAATGCGTTTGTTTGATTTTATTTCTCTATCAAATTTCCAAAATATTTAAACCTGTGTACACCACGTGACAGAAGTTTCGGCTATATTTCCGCCTACATTTTCACGTCAATCATTACAACAATATTTTTGCTAGGTCATCAATACAGGGCTGCTCCTATTCCGAGATAAATAACAACTATGCTGATAAAAGATGCTCAGGATTTAAAGGTAAACAAAAGGGGAAAATTAAGGGAAATGATGAATTCAATATTATTGACAATACTCAATGACAATATTTTTTCTGAGTGGTGGGCGAATACGTGCGTGGCTGATTTTTTGCTTTTTACTACACTGAAAATATATTTTCGTTAATTTATTCACATTAAGTTCGTAAAAACTGATTTCGTTGATGAAACAAATTTTTCGTTAATTGTGTGAAACATTCGTATACCATGTCACTAGGTTCAATACCAACATTATGCATGATTCGTACAATACAAGAACGGTATTTCGTACGAACATCAAGCATCATCTACATACACAGCACTTGCAGTGTAATAAAAAGCTCAAAGAGGATTCAAACTGGCAATTTTGTTTTTTTCTGAGGGCGGACAACATGACGGACGGATGTGGTCCTCTAGGGTCTATGAAATCCTAGATGGGGTGAGTAATTTACCCATCTTTTTGTGATTCCTGTTGAAACTAATTTTCTCTTCTGTTTCTCCGACGTTGCCTAGCCTGAAGATCGTTTCCCAGACGAAACAAAACGTTTACGTGATTTCCAACTACTATATGGAGTTCAATTGTCCCTGCGAAGGTGCGATGGATTTTGAATCGAAATGATGGCGCACTTGAAGACGGTCCGGGCACCGGCTACATCATTCTCATAGGATTAGAAACACTATCAAATTCCTGGAACGTGCCATGGGCCAGAAGCAAGGTTTATTCACGCCATCTTTGTTTTGCATTATCTTCCTAGTTGAAAATGAACTCGATCAAAGTGATGAAGATATTCAATAAAGTTTTATTGATTTCCTAAAAAGACAATTTTATTTACCTACAAATGTTTCGTGTGCCTTCGTATTCTATTCTGCACATTGTATATGTTTTGTTATGGGCCTACGAATGTTTCGTACTATTTGAAATCCATGGGCTTTTACACACGAATAATTCGTATATGTTTTATGAAACATTCGTAACGAATGAGATAACGCTTCGTAAAATACACGAATGTTACGAATCAAACTATTTTGTGAATTTAAACGAAACAGATAACAACGAATGTATTCATGAAACAAACGAACGATTTCGTTATATAAACTAAATTTAATTCTCAGTGTACAACGTGTTATCCGAACTCGGAGCAGGGGAACGCGGGTACACCGTCAGACACATGACTGATAAGGTTTAATTAGAATGATGAAACCATTCAGCTTGGCAGTTCCATACTCAGTTCATAATCTCTTACGTATTCGCGATGGCCAAATGTGTGGAAATGCATTTAGATTTTCTCTATCTAAAACCACATGTCGATTCCTTTTACGTTCTAAGCATGGTTTACCAGATCTAATACCATTAATTAAATAATAATATTACAATTTTATCAAATTCCTGCAGCCCTAACAAACTATGTATTCATGTATTCCCACACAGCATCCTCCTCACCACTACTGACTGCGTGCATCATTGCAACAATCGTCCACGAATGGAGTCCCAAATTGCCAATCGGTTAGCAGCTTTCCTTGGTAAGCAAACACCATTATCCTTTTGTTCAATATTTGCCCGGTCAAAGCAATAAAGATAATGAGCTTGCGTCGTCGTAAAACACGATCATCATTTAATCTCTGCAAATCCCACGCAACACGTGCAAAAAGCATCGCCGTCCGTCGTCATCTGGAGAGCAAAAATCAGCCACTGTCCTTTGCAATCATTAAATCTTAATTAACCACCACACGGTGAAGGACAGGAAGGTTGCTGCCAGGAGGAAGCCGACTGCCTGAAGGGGCACAATACCGTGCCCCAAATATCGCAATCCCTTTTCGGAAACCCGCACCAGGAGAGTGGCTTTTGTTAAGGATCCATTCTTCGAGCTAGACATACGACGGCGGCCGGCGCGATTCGCTGGACACGATGTAAAAACTCCCCTCTCCCCATGCCTCCGAAAAGGGTGTTCCGTGACCATCCCCGGCACAGATTGAACCATAAATTACAATTTTCAGTATTATCTCGACCATTTGTTCTCACTCTCTGCTTTACTGTTACTCAAGCAGCTGTGGTTTAGTACCTACCTAGTACCTAGCCAATGTTGAATGACCTTTCCGTTCTGTCCGAGAACCGGGACTTACGTAATGGAAGCTAACGCTCTGAAGAAAAGTAAACACCATCATTCCATGCCCTCCCTTTAGTTTCCCAGAATGCGGTTTGGAGATCTCTGCTGGCAAAAAAGGATGCTGGCAATTAATTCATTGGGCAAACGTTCCAGGATAAAACAAAAAGAATCCTCCAACCACGTCTTCTCACCGATTCGACGACGCCTCGCGGGTATCAGCCAAATGCGCGTTTTTTGTGTGTGTGCTAGGGCGATGCGATGGGAAACCATAAAGAGTACAATCAGCCAATTTTCATCCTACACGTTACTGCTACTAGTGCAAGGAAGAAGTAGCTTTTCTTCGCCCTGACGATGACGTTGATCGGTGGAGTGGGTGGCACCGTTGTTGGATGAGTTCACATATCATGATTGCACCCGGGCGGTGGCAGGATGAGTACGTTTTTGTTCTGCTGCTGCTCATTCACTCATTCACTTACTCATTGTTACGAACGCCGCTAACATTTTCCAAACGGTGAACGTCGGGTCGGGCGGGAGATCATTGCACTTAATTGATTTAAAATTAATTGAAGGAAAGATTTATCAGGAGCTAGTGGTACGATTTATCGGCGAGACTGTTGCTGCAAGCTGGCGTTTGGAATGCGGATTTTGGCACAAATTTTGGATTTTTAATCTGGATGGAGGAATTTAGCGGGGGCTATTTTGTAGTTTTACAATAGCGAAGGTATTGATACTATTTTAATAAATGGTTAATTGTCTTTGTTTTGACCTCGTTACCCATCAAATCACATTAGAATTCTGAAATAAGATGTTTGGCGGGCATATTGACTACAAGGAGGAATATAAAAGGAATTCCTAAGGTTGTCAAATTCTCCTCCAAATATACTGTATTAACAATATAATTCCGTCTAGATGAGTATCATCGTCGCCCACTGGTCACCACACTCAGTCAAACACAAGACGACTTTGAATCTATAACCGACAATGCACCCCCTAACCTCGGGTAAGCCGCGAGTATTCGGTCTAATTCATACTAGATATATAATTAAGTGAATTTAGCTACAAACGATGAAAAATGAATTATCGGCTTCGTAAAGCTAATGTGATTGAGCCTTACAAATAAACGAACTAGATAAAAAAGCGCGTCAGAAAAGGCAGCTAATGTATTCTATAAACATTACGAAGGACGCTTCAAAGCTAGAACTGAGATTTAAAAAAAAACTTGTTTGTACAATTATTTTCATGTTCCCATATGTATCTACAGGCCTAAGCAATGTGCACAAAATTTTTGTCTGATTGTAATTAATGTAAAAAAAAATAATTTTTCATGTGTAATAATTGCAACTCACTTACCCCTCGACTTTTATGACATTAGGTGGTGTGTCGAACAAGAAGTTTCTGTCTCTTGAGTGATGTATGGAAAATAGAAGAGTGAACTATATTGTTAATATAGTATAATTGCCTCCTCTAGAGTCTAAACTTTCTTAAAATTTTCTAGCGTCTTATACAGGGCAGTTCTAGAAGATCATTGAACTTCCTTAAAGTCCTCAGTATTTCTTAACAGTTCGCACAGTTTCCCTAAAGTTAATGGGACTGCCTTGATGTTCTTAGATCTTCTCAGAAGCTTCCTCATTTTTCTAAATGTTCATGGAGTACCGGCAATTTTTGTGGATGTTTCGAAACTTCTTGAAATATTTACAACTTACCGGAAAATATCAAAACTTCTGCAGGGCTGGCATAATTATTTGCAAAAACACATTTTTTTGCTCTCATACATTCTCAATATCACGCGTGATAAAGCGTGTACAACATAAAATTGCATCACGGAAAAAACGCTGTAGAAAATTACCCATTGGGTATTTTATCTTGAAATTTTGGGTAGGAGTAGTTTAGAGTGTATTGTTTACACTATATTTTTATCGCTGTCAGTTTTTCGAAAGTTGCAAAAAATGGCGTCACCCAAAAAGGAACGTCGTGAATTGATTTTGCGCAAGCCCCTGGAAAATCCTCAACTCTATCATCGGGACATCGGAAAACAACTCGGAATCGCGCAGTCAACGGTGAGTCGTGTGATTAAACGCTACTACGAAACTCTGAGCATCGAACGGAATGAGAAATGCGGTCAAAATGAATGTTCTATTAGTGATCAGGGTCACAAGCGTGTCGTGAAAGCGTTCAAGCGGAATCCCAATGCTTCGGTCAGGGATGTGGCCAAAAAGTTGAATCTGTCCAAGTCTTTCGTTCAGAGAGCCAAGGGATGGGAGGGACTGCAAACGTACAAAGTGCAGAAGGCTCCAAATCGTGACGAACGGTAAAATACGGTGGGAAAGTCACGGGCCCGGAAACTGTACACCCAGATGCTGACGAAGCCTCATTGTCTCATAATGGATGATGAGACTTACGTCAAGGCGGACTTCTGGTAGCTTCCGAGGCTACTGTTCTTCAGCACAAGTTTGATGTTCCGGAGAAAGTAAGGAAGCAGAAACTTTCAAAGATTGCCAAGAAATACATGATTTGGCAAGCGATCTGCTCATGTGGCAAACGGAGTGCGCCGTTCGTGACTACCGGGACTGTAAGCGTAGAGATCTACCTCAAGGAGTGTCTACAGAAGCGTCTGCTTCTTCTGTTGAAGCAACACGAGGCCCCTACGATCTTCTGGCCGGATCTAGCTTCGTGCCACTATTCAAATATTGTCCTGGATTGGTCACTTTCCTTCCCAAGGACATGAACCCCCTCAACGCACCGGAACTAAGGCCCATCGAAAAATACTATGAAGCAGGCACGACGGGAGCATCCCAAAGAGGTCAAATCTGAGGAAGACATGAAGAAAAAGTGGGTTTCCGTACAGAAGAATCTGCAGCCAGATGTTGTAAAGAACCGTTAAGCGCAAGGTGCGAGCGTATGGTTATGGTATTAAAGTTGAGTGAAATAAATATGCCAAAAGCTTACAAATGGGTTATATATTATTGTCTCAAAGTTTGAAAAGGATCGGTCAGCTAGGTTATTTTCTACAGCGTTTTTTCTGTGATGCAATTTGATGTGGGACACCCTTTATTGGAACAAAATATCATGCCGAGTATCATCCTTGATATTGATTTTACAAGCTCCTTTGATTCTGCGAGACTACTTATCACGTGTGAAATCAAGCGTAACTATGAAAATCGACGTATCTGCTTTTGCAAACAAACACCATCATCAGAAAGGGGAATCTTTTCCCTGCTAGCTGGTGTTGTTAGTTTCTGTGAGTGAGCTATAGCAGTTGCCACAAATCGTTAATTAAGGGGGTAGTACACTTTGAACGTCCAAAAAGTAAGGCATTTTCGTTAATTTTTTTAAGCAATAAAACACTCAGGGAGGGCAAATATGTTATTAGTCATCCTTCGAACTACAATTTGTATTTTTTTTGAACTCGATTGGCGTCTCCCCGTGCCCAGTGCACCAGGTCGCGCGGGCGTCCTCGCACGGAAGTCGGAAAACGGCGTGGGAGAATACTCCTTTCCATGTGATCCTGGAACATAAATCGAACAAAAATCCTGATTAGAAATGAAATTTGGGTTAGAAATACGTATTCCGATTTTTAAAATTATTTTTTTCAAAAGTTGTGGGCTTAGGAAAAAAAAAGTCCATTTTTTCACCCTAAAAATGCTTACAAAATCGTGAATTAAAAATCCATTTTTGACAAAACCGAAAATGTGGATACGTATTTCTAAGCAGAATTTAATTCTGAACAAGAAAACCTAGGCGATATCCAAATTTGATAATAACTGGTTAGAGTTATTTCCCACGCCAGTTTGAAAAACCCCGTTTCGAGATAAACGCGTTTAAAGATAAACATGCTCTCTCAGCGCGCCGGTATATGTTTTAGGAAATCGCTTCGTAAAGCGGTAAGGAATATTCTGGCGGACTTGGAGTCTTTTCTTAATTAAAGTATACATCCCAAGAAACATTTTAAGCCAAAAAAAATGCATTTTTTTTTTTGAAAAATCAAAGTGTACTCCCCCCTTAAAGTGATTGTTTACATAATCAGATACGTCGAGTTGAATAGTTTCTCTTGAAATAGCATATGAAGGTAGACTGGACGCAAGATTGATTACGTTGTACATCGATTTTTAAGAAAGAGATAGAAAAGTTTGCTATCTCTCTTTATTCTTCACGAATCTACTGCTGCCAGCAGTGATGGAAGTTTCTGGTCGCGTTCGGGTGTAATGCAAAAATCTTGAATTTCGAACTCACCACACTTGATAATCGTAGCTTGATATTTGGAGCAACGATATCACAGCTTGTAATATCATCCGGTGTTGTTTGCTTATTGATGTTTTTCCACGAAAATCAAGCGTGATCATCGGAACTATTGAGATTTGATTTTTTGATATTTTCTCAACACTGGCTGTGAAGGTTCTTTGATCTTCCCTGATGTTC